TAGAGTAGAGTAGAGTAGAGTAGAGTAGAGTAGAGTAGAGTAGAGTAGAGTAGAGTAGAGTAGAGTAGAGTAGAGTAGAAGCAGAGGTCTCCAACCGTGGCAACTTTAGGACTTCCTAGTTAAGTCCACAAGTCTTAAAGTGGAGTAGAGTAGAGCAGGGCAGAACAGAACAGAACAGAACAGAACAGAACAAATTTGGGAGAAATTGATGAGCACTCCCATGTGGGATCTTATAAGTCTGCCTGACCTTCTGTGAAGTTGATTCAACTCCTGGTGGCTACACAAACACATTAACTCTGTTGTCTCACCAACAACTTGCCAGCCCAATGGCTCCATCCATTTGGTCTGTTCTCCAAGCTGAAACAGGTCTGAATCTTTGATGGAGTCAGGGTCTTCGGTTTCCTTGCAGACGTTTCATTACCAAACTAGGTAACCTCATCAGTTTCCAGTGAGGGTGTTACATAATTGGGCAATGAAACGTCTGCAAGGAAACCACCCGGCTCAGAGAGCACCAAGGCCCCACTGTTCAACCCCGAACTATGAATATTCTCTTCTATTCTCTTCATAGTCTTTAATTTCTTGTTTTTAATTGGCCCAAATTTGCTTGGTATTGCCAGCTCTTTGTGGTGAGGTTGCCTCTGCTCTCTCCCTCAGCTAAGAGAAGCCTGAAGTCTCATCAGAACAGCCTGTTCGTTGGAGGAAAACCAGGGATTTGAGTCATCTAGGAGGCTGTTCTTCACAGATCCCCAACCTGCAGCTTCAGCGCTCCCTGTGACCCCTCCTGGATCAATTTCTTTCATCTTCAAAGACCTTTATGATTATGACTGTTGAAGACAGATGGCTAGGGAAGATATGAAGACTGGAAGCTCACCAAGAAGGAGTCTATCAGAAAGAAAACTTCCAATCTTCCTTCACACAAAATAGATGTACATCAACCCACCTGTGGCCTTCGGCATCCTTAGGTGAGATCCTTGGAGACCGAAAGAGACTCCCTGTCCATGAATGTGAGTTATGAGAATTCCTTGAGTTCTCCTAACCAAAGAAGCTTTTTTTTTTTAATAGAAAGGCCTCTATCCTTATAGTATTGAGGATTAAAGTCACTGGTGGGTCTTTTGGGCCATCAGTCGTTTCCCCGCTCTTCTTAAATTCTTTTGTCTTCCTTCTCTTTCATTGCCCCTTCACTCTGTTATGGAATAGAATAGAATAACAGAGTTGGAAGGGACCTTGGAGGTCTTCTAGTCCAACCCCTGCTTAGGCGGGAAACCCTATACCATTTCAGAAAGTTGTTCAATCTCTTGATGTTCATAAATGATCCAACATTCACAGATGTGGTGTTCATCCATATCTCCCAGATCAAATCCTATGCATTCCTGCTAAAATGCATTGCTTTGAAAGAATACTCCTAGCCCAAACACTTGGACTCTTCATATTTCTTATCTGAGGGACTGTAAAAAGTGAACTATAATATAAATGGTTGTTTGTGAACTTCATCCATATTCATCTTTCCACCAAGCTGTGTGCCTTACAAACACACGTGAACCACCGAAGGCTTTGAAAAGAAAAAAAATTGCGTCTAAGATGAATTATATCTCACCCCTCTCCAATATATTTTCTGGAAATCCAGCTCAGTTGAGATTGCCAAGTAAGCGTGCAGAGAGGAAGTCTTTTCAAGCCAATGATTTTAGAAGGATTGCAGTGAAACTGGCATTTTCTCCCTGATCAAAGCCAGCGTGATAGGTCAAAAAGAAAAATGAGGACGGTGTTTGCTTGTTTCCTTATACTGGAGCTAATCGCAAATCCCATGCAAACAAAATTATGCTCTAAAACTCCATATAAGGGTGCAGGATAATTTTTCTTTCTTCCTAAATCTCATAAGAGCCCTCAGAAAGTATCTAAGGTGAGGTGACTTGGTGCTTCCTGAGCTTGGTGGTTGTCTTGCAGATGTTTCATTACCCAACTAGGTAACATTATCAATGCTAGAAGGGAGGGGGGGTTTGAGGAGTGGAGGAAAAGAGAGAAGAGGAGGAGGAGGAGGAGGAGGAGGAGGAGGAGGAGGAGGAGGACTGTGGGGTCCTTGGTGCTCTTTGAGCTTGGTAGTTTTCTTGCAGACGTTTCATTACCCGACCAGGTAATATCATCAGTGGTGGAAGGAAGTAGGGTTTGCAGAGAGGAGGAGGGAGGAAGGGGAATGGGAGTGGGAGAAGGAGGAAGACCTTTGCCCACTCTGACCTTAGTGTTTTTTTTGTTTTTTTTGCAGACATTTCATTACCCAACTAGGTAAAATCATTAGTGCTAGAAAGGAGAGGAGGTTGTGGAGAGGAGGTTGATGATGATGATGGTGATGATGATGGTGATGATGATGATGATGATGATGATGATGATGATGATTTACTTTGTAGCGTGATTGTGATGTAGTGTTTGGGGCACTGTGCTGGAGTAGCTTTCAAATTTCATTGTATTCATGGAATGCAATGACAATAAAACCTATTCTATTCTATTCTATTCTATTCTATTCTATTCTATTCTATTCTATTCTATTCTATTCTATTCTATTCTATTCTATTCTATATTTTCTATTCTATTCTACCTTCTATCCTATCCTATCCTATCCTATCCTATCCTATCCTATCCTATCCTATCCTATCCTATTCTATTCTATTCTATTCTATTCTATTCTATTCTATTCTATTCGACTCGACTCGACTCTATTCCATTCCATTCCATTCCATTCCATTCTATTCTGTGGGGTCTTAGTCGCTCTCTGAGCTTGCCGGTTTTCTTGCAGATGTTTCATTACCGAAACTAGCACGATGATGTTAGCTAGTTTGTGTCATGAAATGTCTGCAAGAAAACCACCAAGTTCAGAGAGCACCAAGGACCCCACAGTTCAACCCTGAGCTACCAATATTCCCCCTTAATAGTCCGCTTCACACCCTACAACCCTTCGGCCTTGTTGAATAAACGTCTCCCTTGCAGCGTCTCCCTTTGAACACCTCCGCCTTTCCCTTATCTGACTTTCAATTTAAGTGACACCCCGCTTTGTTTTTGTCTGTTTATTCAATTTCTTTCTTTTTTTTTTCTCCCATTGCATCTCCTTTCTTTCCCCTACCAGCCTTTCATTTAAGAGACACCTCCCTTGTGTTTATTTATTTGTTTCCGTAGCTGCCCAACTCAAGCAAATGTGTTTTTTTTTTGCAATTCTAAAGCACTCCCCCTTCCCCCTCCAACCTCCCTCCTCCCCCCACCGATCTAGGAAGTGGAGGAAAGGAAAGATACAAGGCAGAAAAGTAAAGACTTCCTTTCTCTCCCGAAGCCAAAATCTCCTTTAGGACAGTCTTCCTAAACCTGTGATTTTTATTTTTTATAGAGAGAGATTTATTTTCCACCCTTTCAGAGGAGTCTTCCCCTAGATGGGAAAATGTTGCTTTCAGGGAAAAAGCAGCAGGGTGGATGACGGGGGAAGAGAGAGACGTTCAGGTTTTGGGGTGATGGACTTGCTATTTACAACCTCTTGTTACTTACCACCCAGGCGGAGGTGAGTCAATTACAGTTTCTTGAAACAGTTGCACTCAGATCTTGTCAGTTAACCTTCCTGGGCCCAATGAGGGCTTCTTTGCCATTCTTTTCCTGCTACCCATCACCTTTCTTATTTCTTTTATTTTCTTTCCTACTTCTCCCCTCTTCCTGTACCTTTTTCCTTGGTGCTTGAATGTTGGGTGAGGATCAACGTCAGCTACTTTTTTCTTCTAAAATGAGAAAATTTTGGCTCATGGGGACATGACAACCTATAACATTTGTATCTTCTCTGTAAGAGATATACTACAGTTTTGTAATAGCCTCCATGTTGAATCTTTCTTTCTTTCTTTCTTTCTTTCTTTCTTTCTTTCTTTCTTTCT